CCTTATCCTTGTTATCAAATGATCACTTCTGAGCACATCTATGACAGCCTCCCACACAGTTTGAGCTCTGATGTACAGGGTTTTGCGGGGGGCTAATACCAAGTCATACTCCGATATATTTAAACTGCTTGCACTCAAAATACATTTATGGTGTATTAATCAATACAAAACTGTATTAATTTGTGATTGGTTTCATTTTTAAGCAGTTGTTTGTTTCTCTGCGCCAAATGTCAAAAGTTGTGATCCTGGAGAATAGTAAATAAAGTGGTGAAAAGTAGATGGGTGGGATAAAATAAATTCCTCTCCAGCTTCCCTGTGTTGATAGCCATGGATATCGAATTGTTTGGATGGCATACATTATCCAACAGACTTTTAGTTAATAAAATGGCAGATAGTTTTGATACATTTTTGAAGGGCAGAAAAATGTTTCACTGGTACAAAAATATTTTTGCCTTTTTTTTTTCTAATAGGAATAACTTTTGAAATGGAAACTAATAAAATATCCATGACCACCTTGTGTGTTGGCCCCTGTGTGTTAGAGGGGCCCTGACACTCTTCTACTTTTTTTTCCTGCATAAGATTTGACTTCTGTACTTCTGTACTCTAGTTATTAGTATTTACATGTATGAGCAGTGCATGTGCTTCCCGTCGTAGCCCATTCAGAGTAGTTCAAACTTCAAATCATAGGAGAGAGGGTACATAGTTACTATGAGCAGTGAGGTTTCTCACTTTCCTCTAGGTCTTGTATCTCTTTTTAAAATAATCCATCACATTTTTTTACATTTATTTCTCAGTTGTGTGTATCTTTTACTGTTTTCTCCCTTTAGCTGCTTGAGAGCTATCCGTGTGCTGCAAAAGAACGGCCATGTTCCAAGCGACCCGACACTTTTTAAATCATATGCAGAATATGGACACTTTGTGGACCTCCGACTTGCTGCTTTAGAAGCCATTGTTGACTATACAAAGGGTAAGAATGTATTCACTCTTGTTAAAGCAAATATATCAGTACTGTGACCAAATTCAGAAAAATCTTGTAAACCTCATCTTTGGATTGTGTTGAGAACAAGCATACAGCTAAGTTTTTTGTCAGTTCCTTCACTGCACCTTGTAATCTAATGCTGTGGAACAAGGCTTTAGGCTTCCATGCAGACTCTGTCAAATGTGACCGCTGTTATAGTTTACTGACTGAAAGGAAAAAAGGTAAAAAAAAAAATATATTAAAGTGGATTATTTCACACATACATACAGTTATGCATTTCTGTTAAAAAAGTCCAACCTGAGAACCAGTCTGAGCTCCTTTTTATAGCAGAATTTAAAGTGGTTGTAAACCGGGGGTGCTCATCCTTTTGAAGAGCAAGGGCCACTTTAGTGATTTGGCAACCAGTTGCAGGCCACAAAGAAATTAAATGGTTCAGAATTTTGCATTTTATATTTTGAATAGCATAAACATTTTCCACCTGCAGCCTCTGAATGCTGGCGGGAAGGAAAGGAGAAGTCGGCTATCAGCAGTTGCAGGAGGTATGTGGAGAGGATCGGTTCCTGTATATGCTGCCCCTTCTGTTGAAGTGTAAAATAGAATGCGACAGGGAGGCCGCGTGGAGCATGGGGTTGGGCTGCCATTGTGATCACTGACCGTACACCAATGGGTGGTGGGGATGTGGTAAAAACTAATCTCATTTCATCTTACTGCCCCCACCCAAATCGCAAATGTAAATGAGCCTTTACTGTACTGAGCCCTAGAAGGTTGCTTTCACAATGATGCACTTTTGTTTACCCGCACGTGGGTGTAGCGCAGTGCACCTGCAGCTTTTCTGTGGATTAGCTTCACTATTATCCAGGATTTATATTGCACCAGCAGTTTGCTCAGTGCGTTACAATATAAAGGGAGACAATACAACGACGATACATTTCAATGCAAGAAGGTTACGAGACAGGAGAGAAGAAGAAAAAAAAAAAGACACCCATCCCTCCCTCCCCTCCCTCCAAAATGGCTCCCAAAAGGGGACAGCTATATTGTGTACTCAAGAGGGCAATCATGATGCGCCCATAGTATTAAGGCTGTCTATTACATGTAGTTCCTGTATCGCTCAGTCATCTTGAAATGAGACCAGCAAGACCAAACAGTTGTAAACTTATGCAGTCGGTCTTGGGATATATCGATCAGTTCCTCCATCTCTTCTATATTATTTATTCTAGTGAACCATTCTTTGATCAAGGGCACACGGGAAGATTGCCAATGAACCGAAATGCAAAGTCTAGCGTATTGACCAAATGCATAGCTAGGGGTTTTCTATAGTGCGTTTTAGAAAGATATGTATGGTGTAATACATATTGTTCAGGTGTGAAATCCAAGGTGTACATGGTAACTAGTGAGATAATATCATGGGCCAATAATCAAAAAGGGAGGAGTTTCTCACGTGCCCACCGGAGATGGAGCATTGTACCAACTCCTATGCCACATCTCTAGCATGTGTTCGGCGTAGCAGGTGAAAACTTATGTAGAAGGGAGTTCTATAACAGTGGGTGTGGATTTAGTAGCAGTTCTCCTGACTGGCCACCTTGAGGGACCACTTATGAGAATATTCATCTATGACAGACCAGTCGTCTTCTGTAAGGGTGTGCTGAAACTCTGTTTCCCATTTTCACATTTCCCACAGCGCGGTCCAGAGGCATAGGAGAGGCCTGAAGCAGTAAAGAATAAATTGTGGAAATTATGCCTAAAGCATACCCCACAAAGACTCAAACTGCGTACAGGGTCTAGATCACTGCACTGCAAATTCCGGCTGAGATAGGAAGTGTCTCACTTGCAAGTATGTCAAAAATGGAAAGGAGCCCATTTTGGGAAAAAGCAGATAGTTGATCATAAAAGTGGAGCTTTTCCCTTACCTCTTGGTGTCAGTAAAGCATGTCAGAAATGACACCTGCAGATAGCAGAGGAACGAAGCAACGGACAGGAAAGATGCGTAGTGCTCTGGACTGAGACAAGTACACACCATAGAAGGATATGCTTTGCTCAACTTTCATATCTGAGGTTTACAACCACTTTGGAAACTGATTAACCTTTTATCAGAAGTTTAAAGATTTTTTTTTTGTTTAAAACATCTATAGGTAAGTTTAGGTAAGTTGTTTTAATGTGCTAGAGGTGGGTATGGTGGTATTGCTCTGTATATATCGGTGAGCATCATATTCCTCCTGGTTCACAAGTGCATCCTCTTCTTTGGCTTCTTCTTTTGCCATAGCTAGGTAATAACTCAAATGACTTCGGTATACAAGGTTCCCCTATTTAGAAAAAGCAGTTGGAGTGTTCCTTTATCAGAAATGGAAAGGAGTTCCCCTTTACCATCCAAATGTATCAAAATATTGTTTTCTCTATGTAAAAGGATTCCTCAGTCCAATAATGTGTTGAAGAACTTGTCAGCAAGTCTGGACCCACTTCCTCCAGTCTACCAAATTCATCAGTTTATAGTGGAAATAAAACACAAGCTGAAAATCAATCAGAATAGCCAGGCAGAAACGCTTGTGGTTTTCCTCCTCTAAAAAAAAGTCAGTGAAACCATGTAGTGTTCTTTCCAGTCAAGCTGGTATTATTATGTAAGTTCTAAAATTGCTGAAGCAGAACACAGTTTAAGCAAATACGATTTCACTCACAGCTTACAAGGTGATACTAAAAGGTAAAAATGTTGTTTTTTTTAAATAACAAAAATGTAATTCTTACCTGCTCTGTGTAAAGGGTTTTGCACAGAGCAGCTCCAGTTATCTTCTTCTGTGGTCCCCTGCCGGTGCTTCTGGCTCCTCCTTCCAGCCCAGTGACCCCATAGCACACCACTTGCTATGAGGCACTTGTGCATGCTCACTCCCAAGCCACTCTCCACTCTTTCCATTGATACACAGAGGTGCTGCATGCCCCTGCTCCCTCCTGATTGGTTGTGATTGACAGCAGCAAGAGTCAATGGCTCCTACTGCTGTCTCTGAGCAAATAGAAAGAGAGAGAGTCAGGGAAGCCTCCACCCTTGTGCACTTCGTTGGAACGAGATCAGGCTCAGGCAAGTATTGCGGGGGCGTGGAGCTAGAAGAGCGCAGAACACAGAAGGTTTTTTACCTCCATGTATAGAATGCATGAAGGTAAACAACCCTTCAGCTTTTAGAATCACTTTATGTATTTTTAATCCCTTCTTGCCCACCATGGTGTAACGCCCGGGGGTTGAGAAGGATTGGCAGTCACATAACCCCGTCACAATGGTTACATGACCAAAAGTCGGTCCCACTAGCTACCGATCTATAGCTTGGTCTAATAGCTGTCTGCAGCAGCTGGGTCTTTGTGCTGTGAGCGCTCTCTTGGCGCACAAACAGCTGCCCAGCAATGCATATGGGCTCCTTGTGGGCATTGAGGCCCACCCATTTTTTTGCTGCACACATGTGCTGGGCAGTTGTAAAGGGGTAAAATTAAAGTCAATTTAAACCCCAACAGTGAACTTCCATTATTTGCTCCCTCCCTTTTGGTCTGTTCAATATACAATTAAAGTAATTGGGTGTATCTGTTTGATAGTGAAAAAGTACCTGTTCCATCAAGAAATTTAGTGAGCCAGAAACTGGTTGTTTGCATTTTGTAGTATATAGCAGTGGTGTGCTGTCCAATTCGGTGAACACCCAATCAATAAAACATCCACATAGATACACCTGCCAGTACACTCATACGTGCAAGTGCAACCTTAGTAGTATCATAAACTGGTAAAATATAAACATTTCTCACCATACACAGTGAAATAAACATCAAAATACCAAAAAAATGGAAAAATAAACGAACAATCAAAGGACAAAAAGCAAAAAAAATGCTTGTTGACATTGTTCCCAGCTCTCTGTGGAATACAAAACACCTCCCCCTATGTTATGGAAAAGAGGGAGGAGGTGGTGTTTTGTAGTACTGTCCTAGCCTAATTGCTCTGCTTCCCCTCCGTACTTTGCTGGTGTGCACCCCGGTTCTTTCTTTCTCAATCAATGATGCCTAGAATTTAGCTTAGAAATAAACGCTTGCTCAAGCTTTTTTTAAAACACCCCTGTGAAACTAACCTTACTGCAATGAGGTCCTGAACATAAAATATTTGTCTGCCCTGTATAACCATGTCTGAATGGGATATAACTAACTTGGAATACAGAATTATGGCCAGGTCATTATGCTTCCCTTTTGAGTAGCTGTATTACATCTAATTCTATCAAAGGTGTATTTTCTTCTTTAACCACTTTAAGTGATTAAAGGCTTAAATAAAAAAATAAATAAAATAACAGACATATCTATACTTACCTGCTCTGTGCAGTGGTTATGCACAGAGCAGCCCGTATTTTCTTGGGTCCCCTGCCAGTGCTTCTGTCTGCTCCTTCCTGTCAGGTGCCTCGACAGCAAATGGCTTGCTATGGGGGCAACCAAGGATGTGCACTCCCCAGCTGCAGCTCGGCCCCATCCCCTCTCTCGTCTCATTGGCTCACTGGCTGTGACTGACAGCATTGGGAGCCAATGGCTCCCGCTGCTGTCTCAGCCATTGAGAAGACGGAGTCCAGAGAGAGCCAAGACTCCAGTGCACATCGCTGGATCAAGAGGGGGCTTGGGTGAGTATTAGGGGGGGCTGTGGGGGGGGATGCTGCACAGAGGAGGTTTTTTACTCTCATTATAGAGTTCATAAAGGTAAAAATCCTTGAGCTTTTACAACCCATTTAAAGACCAAGCATTTTCTGGCACGTTTTGCTTACAAGTAAAAATCTGCATTTTTTTGCTAGAAAATTACTTGGAACACCCAAACAATTTAAATCAATTTTTTAGCAGAGACCCAAGAGAATCAAATGAATAAAATTGCATTTTTTTTTTATGTCACACAGTATTCGGATAACCGTTTTTCAAACACAATTTTTTTGGAAAAAATACACTTTAGTGAATTAAAAAATAGAACACAATATAGAACTTTTTTCGTAAAAATTTAAAGTTGATATTACGGCGCGTAAATAGATACATAACAGGTCGCGCTTTAAAATTGTGCACTCTTGTGGAATGGCGCCGAACTACGGTACCTAAAAAGCCTTTACAGGTTATGAATTTAGAGGTACAGAGGAGGTCTAGTGCTAGAATAATTGCTCTTGCTCTGATGTTTCTGGAGATACCTTATGTATGTGGTGCAAACACCATTTAAACATGTGGGTGTAATGGAGGAATGGGGGTGCTTTAAAAAAAAAATTATTTAATGACCTTTTTTATTTTTGCACTTTTTTTTTTTTCCTTTTTTTTTTTTTTTTTTTTGTAGATCACTTTTATTGCAATTGCAACAAATGTAAACATCCATTGCGATAACAATCATGACAGGTCTGCTTTTTTTGGAAAAACCCCACATCTCTCCTCTACAATGGAAAGTATTAGATCAGATAAAAAAGATTGTTCTAATGCTTTGCCCCCCAAAAAATGGTCCTGTTTACATTTGGCTGGAAGTGACGTTATGATGTTGCTTTGGTCCTGCTAGTCATAGAGATTAGCTGAGGCCATCTTTCCTCAGCTAATCTCTATGCCCAGTTGCCGTGACTGCCGGATCGGTTTCCAGGTTCACGGATCAGGCAGGTAAGCCACTGGAAAGCGGTATGGGGGGCAGCAACAAACCCTCCCACCGTTTCTAAACGTGATCCAGCAGCTAATCAGCTGCCTTGATCACTTTTAGGAGAAACAGCAGTAGGTGAGGAACTTTTATTACCAGAGTTATGGCATCTAGCTGCAGCCAAAACCCCTGGAACTCCACTGTATGTGTATATACCTATAGTAGTCTTGAAGTTGTACGTGTGCAATTCATGAACAGTCCCAGTTTTTCTTACTCCATGAACTTTGATTACTTTTTTTTGTTTTATTTCCTTGGTTCTGTGATCTAGTACAGCCTTTTTCAACCAGGGTGCCCAGACCGCCTGTGGTGCCTAATGGGTTTTTCAGGGGTACCTTTAGCAAAATGCCTAAAAATTACCCAAAAATTGTCAAGGCAGTGAACAGATATATTACACAAAACATCCTAACAACCAAAGAAGTAATTGGTTGATAAGGAGGATATCAGGTGCCTGCATCCTTGTTTGCCTCTCTCCATCATAAGTGGGGTTATGTCAGCTAAGTGGAATGCTAATCAGTACCAGTTTGCAAAGGTGTATTTGCTTTGTAAAAATCACCTCTAATGATGGGTGTCTTTTTATGTGTGTGGATATTGCTGTATTATGTAAAACTATTAGTTTAGATTTTTTTCCATTTTAGAATCGGGTGCCTGCAGAATCTTAGAGGATGCCTTGACTGAAAAAAGGTTGAGAAACACTGATCAAGTTTACCCTTTTCCCTAAAAGATCCTTTTTAAATGAGGGTAATGACTCTGGTAAATGATTATCTATAAAGAAAGTAAATGTGATGCATCTTGTGTTTACAGCGGACAGAAGCTCTGATGACTTGCAGTGGTTGCTGAAAATGGCACAAGATGACCCAATGCCATATATAAGGTATGTCATGCATGTACATTTCACTTAAAACAACCTTTTTATGCTGCGTTGTAAAAAACTGCAAAGAAACTTGTTTTTGGTTAGCTTTGCACAAATCAGGCTCTAATACAAGACAGAAGCATTTTTTTTATTAAAAGAACAAGTCCCGTGGCTGATGTTTATACTGACCAGCACTCCGGGGTATTTAGTTTTTTAGAGGGAATTAAAGTTCTGCATATTGAAGCTATACACCGCTAGGTGGCAGCAGAGTTCAGCTCTCATGTTATTGGGCAGTTTCACAGATGTATGGTAAGCTGATTTAGAGAGCAGGTCATCCAGCAACAGATAACGTATTTTATTTTACTGCCAGGTTTCTGTGATTTATAATCCAGGTGTTATTGATGTGAGCTGGGTAGACTTCTGCCAGTCCTCCAGTGAACCATGGCTGTGCTGTTAAAAGTGATTTTTCTTAATTTTCCATTACTGTACACAGGGTGAGTATTCAGGTGTTCTGGGTTATGCTGCTGCCTTCAGTAAATTGGACACTGGCAAAACAAAGCTGTAAGGACAACCCAGTATGACCACTTTCTTTTTTTTTTCCTACTCCTTTTTCACGTTATAGTTTCCTACTAGCAAAATTCTTCGGTTGCTAATTTTGCAGCTTCCATCTTCTGTGTGGAAGATGCAGGGCTGGCCTTTAATGCAGAGTCCAGTGCTTAAATAAGAATTAGACACTCGTCTAGGTATCTATGATGCAAAATTCTGAGTTGTCTGCAGAGTGCTTTACAGTTCCAGGTCCATGCTGCACCCACTAGTGGAAGCCTGTCCGAATACCCCTTTGGGGGCATTCCCTCTGGAGGGGGAAAGTCTGTCTGATATGCATTTGATGCCCTGCATGGGCTGCTGTCACCCATCCAGACCATGTTTGGTGAGTAACAGGGCTTGCCACCTATCTTTTGTAGGAGTTGGAAGTCTGTTTCCTCTCCCTAAGGGGGTTATGCTATGGGAGCTGCCTTCCTTTAAATCATGTACCAATCAACACCATTGGAGCTTTGCGACAGATATTTAACTTTTTGTTTTGTGTGTGCCTGCTGAGGACAAAGACACACCATTTTGGTGCTGCAACTTTTTGTACATTTGTCACTTGTCTTGTGGAGGTTGCAACTCACTCATGTTGCTATTACAGGCTCCTTTGTAAAGGCTATGTCAAACCCCCACCTTCTACTAGTCCTGCCCTATGTGCATGCAATTGCTTTTAATCTCTGTTAGTGCTTCAGCCTCCTATCCTGCTAGGTCAAGGCTACCTATTCCTTGCTGATGCCTTACAGTACTTGGGTCACAGACAGCATTGATCCTTCTTGCTCATCAGTGTTTTTGTGGGTACCCCTTGTTCAAATCCTTCACTGGCATATTTAGTATTACAGAACATAGGTGCAAGGGCAGCAGTATATGTGCAGCAGGATCTTTGCACAACCTTCTTCTGAGGAAACAGTCAACTCCGGCTCTGTCAGTGCTGGAGCCAACTTATTGATTGAGCATTTTGGTTTGATCTTTGGTACAGACCTGTCCAAGGTTTTCCTCCCCATGGGCAAACTCCAGTCTGTCTGTTTCCATGTTTGGACTTGAATCTAATGGTGTCCTCCTTCAAAGTAGGTACATATGCCATATTTAAATCAACGTCATTGCAACATTTTGGCTGTGTGCATCAAGAGGATGCAGTCTCTTGTTTTGTCCCATACACTTGACCAGCAGGACCAATCTTGCCCGCCTGGTGTAGTGGGTCACAAGTTTAGCACTGGAATCTGGGATGTCCTTGCTGCAAGTGGTTTGGAAGATGCTTACAATGGATACCAGCTTGTTGAACTGGGGAGGAATCCGAAGTACCCTCTCAGTACAAGGATATTGGTTGTTGGAGGAAGGTCGGCTCCTGATCACTATTCCATAACTTAGAGCATTTTTGTTATACCTTCAATGCTGGATCTTTGCCTTCCAGGATTCAATCTGACATTGCCATGGCAGTGGCTTACATCAAGCTTTAGGGAGGCAGTAGAACTCTCGTGGCTCAAAGAGAAGAAGATCCATCTATTACTGGCCTGGGTGCAACTTCACGTTCCAGCCCTGTCTATTGTGCACATCCCAGACATGAAAAATTGAGACTTCCTCAGTTGGCAGCATACGGATTTCAGAGAATTGTCTGTTCAAGACCTTTTCCAAGACCAATGTCATAGGTAGGGAATGCTGAACATTGATTTCCAGACTTCAGGTTCAGGAGGGCATTTCAGTGATTCTCATTAAACCAACCTGGCCCAGGAGGATGTGGTTCTTGGACCTCTTCAATCTTCTGGCAAATTCACTGGGACCTCATCTGGTTCTGTAGCCTCTTCGATGACTGCCATTTGCACATATTTGGGATATTTCTCTTGTTGTCTACTTGTGGAATTGCTTTTCTCGTCACCACTACCTCTGCAGGGTGAGTTTAGGAGTTGTTGGCCTTAGCCTGTAATGAACCGTTCACAAAGACAAAAAGTGTCACTATGTCAAGAAGCTCTTTCCACCCACGGTGGTTTCTTCCTTTCACTATAACCTGGACATTGTTTTACCACCCCTCTCTCCTGCTATTAAACATCATAAGGAGATTCCCTCCAATGTCTGGTACATGTTGTTCAAGTCTATCAGCCCCCTTTTGACAGTCCACGCTCTATTTTTCTTTTCAGAAGGTCCCCATAAGCAACTGCCTGATTCTCATGCCACTGTTCATAGGTGAATTGAACAGCTCATCATCCAATCTTATGATCTCAAGGAAAGGCTACTCCTTTCCTGGTCAAAGTACAGTCTACTAGATCAGCTAGTGCTTCATGTGCTTTTCAGCATCAGTCACGTTTTTCAGATTTGCAAGGCTACCACTTGCTCTTCTGTTCACATGTTTAAGTTTTACCAGATGGATGTTCAGGTCTCAGCTAATGCTGTTTTTGGTAGGAAGGTTCTTCAGGTGGCTCTCTAAGCTCAGTTAACTCTGTTTTGTCTTTTGAGGCCCTGTTAGCCTTAGATTATTCTGTTGCCCACCCATCAGTTGGACTGAATTTGGATGTACATTCTGCTGTCAACAGATGAGTCACTGGTTGTCAAGGACATGGTGGGTTCCAGCTCTTAACAGCTATTCACTTGTTGCTAAGGACGTGGCGGTTCCCGGCTCTTTGACAACCAGCTATACAACCAAACCCTGACTTGGGCCCTGAAGGAGTTAACTCATTTGTGTGGGTCCAGAAAAAGATCAATAAACACCCAGCAATTGTCTGTGAGGGGGTGTAAAGCAGTGCACACTGAGGGACAAGAGTGGTGGGCTGTTTTGTGTTTGAGATGGTCAAGTTGCTGGTTACCTGGCCTTTGAGATTATATTATCATTATTATTATACAGGATTTATATAGCGCCAACAGTTTGCTCAGCACTTTACAATATAAAGAAAGACAATACAGCAACAATACAGTTCAATACAAGAGGGAAAGGAGGGCCCTGCTCCTTGGAGCTTACAATCTAGGAGGGAGGGGCTAGTGGTACAAAAGGTAGTAACTGTGGGGGATGGACTGGTTGGAAGAGTAGAAGATTCCAGTATTAGCTGAGGGCAGGATAAGCTTCCCTGAAGAGAGAGGTTTTCAGAGATCGCCTAAAAGTGAGCAGAGTAGGCGATAGTCTGATAAATTGGGGTAGAGAGTTCCAGAGGATGGTGGAAGCTCTGGAGAAGTCCTGGAGACAAACATGGGAGGAGGAGACAAGGGAGCTAGAGAGTAGGCGTTCTTGCGAGGAGCGGAGAGTACGGTTTGGGTGATGTTTAGAGACAAGATCGGTGATGTAATTTGGGGCGGAGTTATAAATGGCTTTATACGTTTTTGTTAGTGTTTTGAATTTTATCCGTTGGGCAATGGGAAGCCAGTGGAGGGATTGGCAGAGAGGGGTGGCAGATACAGAACGGTTAGTAAGGTGGATGAGTCTGGCAGCATCATTCATGATAGACTGAAGAGGGGATAGCCTGCGATGAGGTAGGCCAATGAGGAGGGAGTTACGATAGTCAAGGCGAGATATGACAAGGGAGTGAATAAGTTGCTTAGAGATTTCCGAGGTTAGGAACGGGCGTATCTTGGAGATGTTGCGGAGGTGAAGTCTACAAGATTTGGACATTGATTGGATTTGGGGCTGAAAGGACAGATGGGAGTCTAGGATTACACCTAGTACCCTAGCATGAGAGGAGGGACTGATGATTGTGTTATTGATCTTGATGGAGAAGTCAGGAGAGGGGGCACGGGCTGGGGGGAATACTAAGAGCTCAGTTTTGGAAAGCTTGAGTTTGAGGAAGTGGAGTGACATCCATGCCGATATGTCAGTAGATTAGTAATGCGAGTGGAGACTGAAGGGGTGAGGTGAGGGGTAGAAAGATAGATTTGTGTGTCATCCGCATAGAGATGGTACTTAAAGCCATGGGAGTTTATCAAGTGACCAAGGGAGGAGGTGTAGAAGGAGAAGAGAAGGGGTCCAAGGACAGAACCTTGAGGGACCCCTACAGAAAGAGGGAGCTAATGCAAAAGATGAGGTTAGGTTGAAGAGTTGGGATGTAGCCGGGTTGTTGACATTAATGGGGATGTTAAAATCTTCGAGAATGATAGTGGGTAGTTTAGAGGAGAGAAAGTAGGGTAGCCAGGCGAAGAAATCATCAAAGCGGGACACCGGTCCAGGAGGCCGATAGATCACTGCAATCCTCAGAGAAATGGGAGAAAACAGCCGGATGCAGTGATTCTTGAAAGAAGAGAAGGATAGAGAGGGAGGGTTAGGTTGGACTTGAAAGGTGCTCAGTGGGGATAGAAGCAAACCAACCCCACCACCTTTCCAACCACTGGGTCTGAGTGAGTGGGTCCAGAGAAGGCCTCCATAGGAAAGTGCTGCGGAAGAATCAAAATCTGCTGCTTGGAGCCAGGTTTCTGTAATTGCTACTAGGTTAAGGGAGCGGGTGACAAAAAGGTCATGGACAGAG